TTCTATGAAAAAATTGGGTAGCACAAGAGCTGAATTCCAAAGTGTAAAAAAAAAAATTCAAATGAAAAAATCCTTTTAAAAAATCAGAAACATTTTTCAATCCCATAAAGAAGCATCATAGGCACAAACACAGTTTTGTTTACTTTTTCATGATGCCATTACACAAGAAAAATCACCAAAGCTAACAAGATTTGTGACATGTGCTCCTGTGCCCTGTTGTTTCTCGACACAAGAGCCCTCCCACGCTTTCAACAAGGAGAGTTTAATGGAGCTTTAAGGATGCAAAGCAAAGCCTTGATTTTCAACCCTTCTTTCCTTGTCAAATATCATTTAAACAAAACAATAATAGTAATAATACTGCTACTATAGGCCTGTGCCTAAAGGAACAGGCTTCCATTCTCTGGCCTCCTCTTTTCTAAATAGCCAGAGGATGCTGATTCAGTGATGCGTTACATTATATATATTAAGTACTTTCCCACAGAAGAATCACTTTGAATAGACTTGTTCTTAACACTGACATCCTGCCAGTCCTGACAGGTGAGGAGCGCCAGTGAGATATTGTTAGACAGGCGAGAGTTGTTTATAAAACCAGCTGACAAGTCCTTTTTCCCGCCATTGCCATTTTCGAGTGTTGCCCTTGGGAGGTGATTCTGGCAAGACAGAAACCGAACTGGTACATGTAATTCTTCAAGAGAAGCCTAATGGAAGGGCTAGCTGGGAAGAGGGATGGTGAGAGGAGGAAACAGTGGGAATGTTAAACTGAGCCAAGGGAAAGCTCAGGAGAATTGAAGTTTTAAATTGAACGTCAATAAAACTTTTTCTGCTTGGTTTTCAATGTCAGCCCCATGTTAACCTTAGGAAGTAGGGGACACTTCTCTTTTTCCACAGAAGGAATTAGCCCATAGTTGTAATGATGCTAATGGACTGCACGTTGGTGCTGAGAATAGAAACCCCTGTACTGATATGTCTCAGGTAGGGTGGCCAGGTGAAATGAGACACTCCTACAACAGGTTGGATCCAGGAGTCTAGTCCTGTGTCTGCTCCCAGGTACATGAGTCAGTGGCAAAACTTCTGCTGATTTCAATGGAGAGAAACAGGCCCTTTGCTTGGCAGATGAGATGAGTATGGGATCCTGCTGTCCTGCCACACTCCAGCCCTCTGGAGTTTCTCAGGGGATGTCTGCGTAGGAAGAGCTGTGCCTGCATAGGAAAAGCCTAACCCAGGTTAGCTTGATTCCAACTTTTCAAGTCACAGTAACAATGAAGACAGGTCAGCATGGGCTTCAGCAGAGGTTAGCAAGCCGAGTGCATACTGAGCATCTGTGCTGGGCTTGTAGCATCCACTTGAAGCCCATGTGTAGTGATAGCCTGAGAAGTGGCTCTGTCAAGACAGTCAATGGACTGTTTTTGAGGGTTAACCCCCACCTTGAATGTAGAGGGAGTTTAGGGAAGCATTTCTGCTGCTGAGCAGAACAAGTACTGCTGAGGCTATTTAGGCTGAACACTGAGGGTGTCAGGCTGTGTCTTCACAAGGAAAAGAAATATTTGTTCTTAATGTGAGTGAAAGGCCAGGGTCTCTTGTGAACAGACACTAACAGTTGTGCAGTGGTTTTGTGATACAAGTTAAAGACAAGGAACAGAGCAGCAAACCATTTCCTTGTCACCTGTATTAGGATTTGAACCATTCCCCCGATTAAAAGCCAGTGTATTGACCTTCTCCACCACAAAAACAGGTCCATACGTGAGGGAGTGTGAAGGGTGCAAACGAACATCCTCCCCCCCCACACCCATGATGCGCTGCACAATGGGCCTGTGGTGCCAACCCGCCAGCTACCACCTCACCCTGCCTGTCCCTCCATTGCACCCAAAGTGGCCACTAGGCCAGCTAGTCAATCAGAAAGAACATTCCGTGGCACATGTTGCCCAAACTTGCTTAGTTCCAGGGAGATGCCTGCAGAAATCATTCTCCCAGAGACCATGGAGAGAGCGTCTAGAGCTGGCACGTCCCACACAGCTGTTTTTAGTACAAGCCCAAGTGTGTTGACCTGGGCTCAGAGGCTTGCTGCTGCAGTACTATGACAGGCTGTCTCTCCTCCCCCCTCTCAGGGGTGGGGTAAAGGCTGTCAAGCAGCAGTGCATGGAGGTGCCCTGAGCCATCAGTCAAGAAAGAGTAACCAGTAGGTACATTAATGCAGCAGACTTAATTTTTGCAGACATTGCTTTGAAATAGCTGGTGTGCTGTGACCACTGCTTCTGACAATAATGAGACCTGTTTTGCTGTTCCCTTTCGTCCCCCACCTTGGTTGTTGTATGACCTCTTGTCTCTTATCACATACTTAGACTGTAAATCCTTTGCAATGGGGGCTGTCTTAGTGTGTGTAAATGTGAATATTTTGAACGCCTTTATATTTAAAAAACATGGGCAACCATGGGCAAAGTCTCTCTGTATAAGACAGAAAGTGGGAGACTAAGACTTGTCTTTTGTAACAGGACCTGGCAACCTTGAGTCTCAGTAGCAATCCCCCGTCCTAGGAGTCATGATCACTGTCTCTGTGCAACTGTCCCATTTATACAACCACCACAATAAAAATAACAAGGAGACCATTACTTGCACAGCAGAGTTTGAGCTTAACTTGCACAAATGTTGTGGGACAGGCAGCCTGGTGAAAATCTGCCAGATCCCAGGATAGGTGAGAAGCCTAAGCCCATGGCAGTAGTTGTCCTTGTGATCCATAGCGGAAAAAGAGAAATAGAGAATTGGAGCTGGTCCATGGGAGTTAGTCACCACTATGCTGGGCCAGCTTTTCCCTTTCTCCACACAAGGAGAAAAGCTGTCCTAGCCCCCATGGCTGATTCATTGTTTTCAAATCCCCCCTCTTGCATCCATTCCTCCCACATGCATTCTGTTGTTTGAAAGAGGAAGAAGAAAAATCCTCTACATGTAACATTTGCTTTAAGCAGGAGAGAATGTATTTGTGGTGCTGACTTGTGTGGAATTTTTCCTGTGTATGTGGGGAGCATGGCTATACGTGTGTGTGCGCACATAGCTGAAAATAGTCGAATGTGAGTTTTAGTGACAGTGCCCCCATTCTGAATATCTGATCTGAGGGAATCAAGGAGTTCACTGACTCAGGCACTCCTGGCAGTTTCAGTAGCTGTGTGGACTTCACTGCTCCACATTTCACACTGGAGATAGCTGTGAACAAGTTTGATTTTCTCCTGTGCAGAGGTGGAAGATGGTAGTGCAGCCATCCCACACTTTTTGATGAATCCTACTATAGGACATGGGAAAACTTTAATGTGAATGTTTTTCTTCCACTCTAAAATGCTCATAGCTGTTGTGTCAGTTGCTTAAGGCAAGCCATAGCGTAAGGAGGTATGGTGCAGACATGCAGCACACGCAGCTGTCCTAACATACAATAGGTCCAGATGCTTTATTCCTAGATACCTGTTCTCCCTCAGCTCTGTGATTGCTCTTCAATCCTGACTCTAGCCCCAACACACCTCCCCACCAAAAAGGCATTTGAAACCTTCACCATCCAAACTCAAAGGAGGAAAAAGTGCTTGCTTCATGTCACAATCCTTTGAATGTAAGGTACTTCTGTGGTCCTCCTCATTATGGTAGATAGCTACTGCATAGTCTTTAATATATTTATCCTCGCGGCATCCATGTGAGGTAGGGCGGTGCTAATATCCTTATTTTACAAATGAGGAACTGAGGCCCGGGGAGACTAAGGGTATGTCTACACTGCACACTCCTTACCGTAGCATGTGGAATACATACTCTGCATGCCCCCTGGGTAAAAATAGCGGTGTAGATGGTGAGGCGCTGCTTAGGCAAGGTAAGACATGTCCGAACCATGTGGTTATGCACCTTGTTCAAACAATGCCTTCCTGGTCCACACAACCTCCAGAACTTGAGGTTGTGGGTTGAAGTCAGCCCCCCCGTTCCCATGTGCCTGGGGAGCAGCCAGGCAGCCACCACAAGCTTGCCCAGAGCTGGAGCTGGCACAAGCTGAGGGTAGGGAGAGGTGGGTCACCAGCTTCCCTGGGGCTGGGAACTGGCATCTAGTAGTGTCCTTGGGTGTGTCTAGACTACAGGGTTTTGTCGACAAAAGTAGTCTTTTGTCGACAAAACTATACCTGCATCTACACTAACGTCAACAGAACTTGGCAGTTTTGTCAGCGGCGGTAAACCTCATTCTATGAGGAATAATGCCTTTTGTCAACAGAGTTCTGTTGAAAGAAGGCGTTACTGCGTCTACACTGTCCTTTGTGTCTACACTCTCATGTCGACAAAGCGGCTTGCTTTGTCGACAGAACTGGATGTAGTCTAGACGCTCTTTGTCGACAGAGGCTTTGTCGACAGTATCTTTCGACAAAGCCTCTGTCGACAAAAGCTTGTAGTCTAGATCTACCCCTTCTGCTAGAGCCTTTCCCCATCACAGGAAAAGTAGTAGGCATGTGGAGGAGACTCTGGCTGTGGGAAAGCAGGGTTCCAGCAGCTCCCAGCTGCTGAAGCCTTTCTCTATGTCATTGAAAGACTCCAGGTAGTGAGGAAGCAGTGGGGAAAAAGGCTCCAGCAGTTCCCCACGGCCAGAGCCTTTCCTCACTACCCTCCCCCACCTGAGCCTTTCACTGACATGTGTAACTAGAAACAGCAGTGTGGACTCAGCCTGCTTTTCATTGCAGCATGTAGCTATACAGACCCTACACATCACCACCAGTGCTGTGCATTGTAGACATACCTTATATGATTTGGTCAGGGTCACACAGGAAATCATGAGCAGAGCAGGGAAAGGAACCCTGGTCTCCCAAGTTCCAAGCTAGTTTCCTCACCATTGGACCATCCTCCCTCTAAATCATTATGAGACAAGTCCTCCTATGCCAGCCAACCACGGACGACGCTGTGGAAAAGAAGGAAGATGTTCAGGTTAGAGTTTTTATGAAGCTCTGATCAAATTTCACAAGCACCCTGTTGTTCTCTCTTTCACTTTGCAGATCTGCGTAGGATGACGGCTGGCTTTATGGGCATGGCTGTGGCCATCATCCTCTTTGGCTGGATTATCGGGGTGCTGGGGTGCTGCTGGGATCGAGGCCTTATGCAGTATGTAGCAGGGCTTCTCTTCCTCATGGGAGGTAAGGCTGTTGTTTTGCAAAGAAATGCCTTCTTGCCTTTCTGCATCATGTATGGTTTCCAGGTTGTCTTCAGTACCGTGGTGTCAGATGTGATTCTGATCTTTCCATTAATGTAAATCGGGTGACTCAGCTGATGCCAGTGGTGTTTGTGTAAATGAGATCAGAGTCAAGCCCCACAGGCATAGCTGGGTGAGTGACTCACAGTGAATAGTTTATTTATCAGATTTAGTCCTTTTTTCTGCACATGGCTCTTTGATGAAGAGATCTTGATTTCAACAGATTTGCTTCTAGTTGCTCACTTGTATCATGTGGTGCAGCTAGGAGTAAGGAGCACAGAGAGCCATGTCTGGTGTCAGCAGAGGTAAGTGTTTTAGTAGTGAAAAGCTGGAAATGATACAAATAATCATAACCCTTCTGGGATAGTGAAGCCAACAACATTAACACTCTCTGTGCCTATCAGCGCAAACCTGTATTAAACAAATATTCTGTGCAAACACATTTCAGCCTCTGGCTACTTGTAAATTGTTCACTGTAAGGATTCAGGACTTGCAATTTTATGGAAACTAGGTCTGCTGAATTAAGTGAATATGATTGTTTGTGAGATTATGTTGTGAGTTTAGTTGATAAAGGTAACTGTATTGACGACCTGCTCAGATATCTATGAGAAGTTTGACTTAGTACCCCGTGATAGTCTGATTAAAAATTTACATTATATAAAATCAATGTTGCACAATATAAAATGGATCAAAAACTGGCTACCTGATAGATTTCAAAATCAAGTTGCTAATGGGTAATTATCACTGACTGGGAATGTTTCTATGTGGGTGGTATAAAGATAATTTCTTGGCTCAGTGGTGTTTAATAATTTTATTAGTGATCTGGAAGAAAACAGATTCTTACTGCTGAAGTTTACAGATGAGACCAAGATTGGTACTGTGATCAGTAATGATGGGGACAGATCACTTATCCAGAGCAACCTGGATTTCTTGGGAAACTTAGGACATTCAAACAATAAGCCTTCTGATACAGCTAAATGAAAGGTCCTATCTAGAAAAAAAGAATATAGGCTATATTTACAGGGGAGAGGACTGTGTCCTTGAAAGCAAAGATTCTGAAAGGGACTCAAGGATCCTTGTGGATAACCAGCTGAATAAGAGCTTCCAGTGCAATGCTATGGCTAAAAGGGCTAGGACAGTCCTTCAACGTATAAATGGGAATATTAAGTCAGAGTAGGAAAATAGTGTTACCTCCTCACTCAGCATGAGAGAGACCATTGCATGCTCTTTTTAATGGATTTTGAAAGACTGGAGCATGTTCAGAGAACAGCCACAAGAATGATTTTGGGTCTAGAAAACATGCCTTGTAATGAAAGGCTAAAGCTCAATCTGTTTAGCCTGTGGAAGAGAAGGTTAAGAAGTGGCTTGATTGTCGTCTAGATTCTAGAATTACCTACCCAAGGAGAAGAGACCCTATACTAGAAGGTTCACTAACCTGGAAGACAAAGGAAGAACTACAGCTAGTGGAGGGAAATTGAAACAAGGAAGATGCAGTGATTGTTTTATTAAATCTGACAAATTCTGTCAACATAGTGAGGTGTTTGGTAAGAGGCTGAACTTGTCCCACAAAAGCTCATGATATCATCTACCTGTTTTGTTAGTCTATATAGTGCTACCAGACCATTTGTTGTTTTTTCACTTTACCTGTACAGGCTAACTCAGCTACCCCCTGAAGCTTTTTTTTTGGTCAGTCACCGTTACATGACACGAGTCAGAGTTACAAAAGGTTATTCCCCTCTGGCAGGGTAAGTAGCCACTGACTCTTGCGGCTACTGTTCCATGCTCCCTGATATTTTTAAACGGCAAATACAAATGAAATATCACCCCAAAATAACCATCACAATCTGAACGGGAGAATTAATAAACCAGACAAATAGAGATAGCTAGGCTGCAGGTCAGGATATTCAATATCTGTCAGTAACTACAATCTCTAAGTCTCTGATCACATGGACTCTTCTTGTTTTCATACCAGTGCTTCCTGCAGAGGTGAGGTTAGCTGTTAAGATGGGTCTACAATTTGGAGCCTATTTATTGTTCTTGGTGTTTTTTTGCCAAGAGTGACTTGATGGGCAGATGTTACTTCTGTTGGCACGTGAGCACTGTCAAGTAGCATTCTGGTTGTCCTCGAAAAGTGGAGTGTCAGAGGTCCCCATAGTTTTATTTGCCAGCCCAAGAACCAGCAGGGCTAAAACCTGGAACCAGGCAGGTTCTAGGCCACTGATGCTGCTGCGTCACCACAGAGGGTAAGGCCACGCTCCGATGAGAGGACCCTGTGAAGCTAGGCTTGACAGGCACTACCATCCAGTAAGGTCTGAGTGGCAGCCCTTCACATCCCACTGATTGGTCAGAACCAATATTTAAAACAGGAAGCCAGCATGAGGAGCTGTCTGAGCAGTGACAGACCCTGCTTGTGACAGATGCTAGACTTTGGTTCTGACCCCAGTTTGTCCTTGATTTCACTGTTCACTTGCTGTTAGTAACCTAGTACCTGACCTTGACTTCCTGATATCTTGATCTGGATTGACACTGACCTTGCCCTCTGCCTGCAACTTCATGCCTGATTCTGACCTGGCTTGCTTCTAACCCTGCTACCTGTCTCCTGATCTCAGCAGATAACCGGGGCACGTAGGCTGCCCACAGCCCAGCCCTGACAGCTATTTTCTGTTACTTCTGTAGAGGTGACCTTCAGGTGGTTATGACATATGACCTTGGTGCAGTTGACAGGAGACCTTTAACAGGTTGGCAGCCAGGGTCTGTTTGAAATCTAACCTCTTCCATTTGCAATGGGAATACCTTTGAGCATTCTTCGTACTATTTCTTCTGTTTCAATCTCTGGGCACATAGCTCTTTTATAACTACTTCAGGGCTCAACGTCTTTGGTTCAAGAGGCTTGTTAGCTGTCCAAGGGTTTTGTCCCCTGCCCAAAATTCTCTAAACTAGTCATTTTCATGAAGCATTATGATGTGGGCTGAGTAGTCTAACAATACTAAGTATACATACCTAAAAATCTTCCAGGACTGCTGTTATTTTTTTAATGAAGGTCTGTTTATTTTTACTTAATTGTCTGCTAGCCCATGTAATGGTGCATAGTAAGGACTTGATGTAGTGTGCTTCATCTAATAAATCGAAAGAATGCTGTGATGAGTCACTTGGGAATTGTGGGCCATTATCTGTTATTAGCTCATCTGGAATCCCATGGCAGGTTACAATGTGTTATTACATTGTTATTCCTTGTGTTTTTCAAAAAGTTGCCACTAATAAGTCTTTCTTGTTTAGTTCAAATGAATTGTGATGGACTCAGACCATAAAATAGTGGAAGGCACACATATCAGCTTCAGGTCCCTGTTTTTCTGGGTAGCCAAACAAAGGCTACTCCAGACCAATCAAGACACCTGACACCAATTAACTTGCCCAAGGATCCATTGAGGCTATTAGGCTAATGGGGGCACCTGGCTTCAATTAACCTGCAAGAAATCAGTTGAGGACGCTAGACTAATGGAAACATCTGGAACCAGTCAAGGTCCTGCTCATATTGTTTAAAAGCTCTCCCACCAATCATTGGGGGGAGTGTCAATGTTGTGTTGTATCTCTCCATTCTTTGGTGACAAACACCAACAAAGTTACAGGGAAGGAAGCAGTGAGGGAAGGGTGACAGAGTTGTTTAATGAGAGGAGGCCTTTGGGAAGTGGCCCAGGGAACTGTAGCAGCTCCAGTGGTAAAGGGAAAACACTGCCAACAGCTACTGCCCTGCGCTGGAACTTGGAGTAGAGGGTGGGCCTGGTTTCCCCCAGCTGCTGAGTCACTGCAAAGACACTCTCCTGAGAGGGGAGACAGACCCCTGTTGGGACAGGAGGATGAACTGCTACTTCTAAGCCTGAACAGACAACAAAGGCTGTGGGTAATTTTCCCATCAACCCCTTTTCTGGCCTATGATGAAAGTGGCTCAGCAGGCTGTGACCCTTGCTCTAGAGCAGAGGTAGGGTGGGGCCAAAAATTCCCACCATTACTGAGGCTGCCCGGACTGAGAAGGAGAATGTCTTTCTCCACATTTCCCTCATATACCAGAGCCTTGGAGGGCCCAAGCGAGTAGATTTTCTGTGTTCCGGGGGGGGGGGGAGGGAAGGAGGCTGGAGCACCAGTGCAGATTCCCCAATGCTGAGGGGGCGCCCTGAACCTTAGAGGCTGGATCCAAACAAGTTAGGGGCTGCATCTGGCCCTAGGTCTTAGCTTTCCCACCCCTGCTCTAGAGAGAGGGGGGCTTAGTTAAGGGTCAGAGCGAGTCCCTGAGACAAGCATAATCTGCCTGGAAGTGTGAGACTCACCAAGACAAAGTCAGAGCTTTGTCACAGTATCTATTAGGGATGTTCAAAGTCGGTTAAATAGGTAACCGTGTAACCACTGAACATCTCAGTTACACACGGTGGGCTCTGCAGTAAAAAGCTTAAATATGCTTTATATTGCAGAGCCCACAGTGAAGTCTCCCCAGAAGTGGAGCCGGCAGCCCTTGCTGGCCCAGCTCCCAGGGAGGAGGCTTCACTGCCCTGCCTAGCAAAGCTACCTCCCTGGGAGCTGGCTGAGTGTCACTGAGACCATTACGCGATAAGCATCTGCTTATTGCTTAAATTGTTGGTCAGTTACACTCTAACATCTCTAGTGTCTGTACCAACAGAGATCAGGAATCTCTGCTGGCCTTAGGGGTTATTTTGAAGTCTATTTATTGCAGATTTCATACTTGTATATCTTATCTTTGATGGCAACATTTGCTTGGTCATAATAGGATTTTTTAGTCTCTCTCTTCTTACACTTCAGAATACCCAGATGGGCACTGTGGAATATGTTTAGCATTTCTGACCTCATGCTGTTCAGTCAGAGAGTCTTTTCTTTGGCATGCTGCAGAATGTTATGTCAACTCACGTTGTGGCATTGATCATTTTTACTCCAAGC